CGATCGATGTAATTACGGTTTCTCTGACAGACAAAAGACAAGGTAAACTGGCAAAAACATAGATGGGCGATGATGAAGGAAAAAATAATCCTCCTGAGACTTCCATTTTTTGCATTAGTAGCTGGTTTTATAAAGTATTTTATCTTTATCAAGGTTATAAAAATGTCCTGGCACTTAACACCTCAGATTAGAGTTCCCTTTGCAAGATACCTGTCAACCTCACCGATGTATTCTTTAAAATTCGCCGAGATGTCCCGCTTCTTTATGAATTATTTTCGATTTCCTTATCTTAGTCATTTTGTCCTCACTCAAAACCTCAAGATAAAACTTCATTCTTATCATACTTCCACAGAAGCCACACTCAAATGATAGAAAGCCTTTGTGATCTGTCTATTTTACAAACCTTACCATTTATCAGTTATCAAATTCTACGCCAAATCAGATGAGCCAGTAACTGCAAAGTATTTGAAATATCAAAAAATGAAATAAATTCATTACTGAAGCAAATCATACACCTCTCATATTCATTGCTAATCAAGAATATGCCAAACAATTTTTATAATCTATCAAATTTAGCAGAAAATATCTCACTGGCAAGACATTCGATAAGTACCATGAAAGGTACCGCTAATGGAATGGCATGATTATCTCGAAACAGATCAATAAATTATGAAAAAAATATACTCGTTTAGTGGTATGTGCTAATTCAAATTCAAGTAAAAACATTTCTCAAATATTTATACATATGATTTTTTACCTGGTTTACCTTATGAAATTTATTCTAATTTTGTGTAAGCTTGCAATGAATATAGAAGACAGCATCTAACTTTGTTTTAAATAATAAAACAGTTTACTAAAAAGTTATGTATAAAGTTCTACCTTATGTTACATATCATAAAATCATAAAAGTATTGATTTATATGCGCGGATAATAAATATACAAAAAAAATTGTTGGTAATTTTCTTTTTTAAATGCTCCTACTTTTTAAAAACTGCTATTGACTTATTGAAAATGCAAAATGGAACTTTTTAAATTTCTTAAGTTAACAAAATTTTTTCAAGTAAAAGATCGAAAAATTCATCCTCTAATCTTTGTAAAAATTAAAAAATCTTAATATTTTCAAAAACAAAAAATAGGGAATGAAAATTACTTCTGAAAGAAGGACTGAAATGGTCCATTTAAAATATGGGTCGAAGTTGAGAGATCGTTTGACTTGCATAGAATTGATATGAAGACCACATTGTTTTTGTGCTGCTAAGACTAAACTATATTACAGTACCCTTCTGCAGATCATTTCATGATAACATGAATCATATTTAAAAATTTGTAACTTAAATTAGTGTACCTTTTTTTTCATTTTCTATCAATTATAATACAATGGTAAATTGTGATAAAAGCATAAATAAATTTATAATACTCATGGGATATTGTTTTCAATAACAGATATCAGTAGTAAGGTCAAAGACATTAATAGTAATGTTACGAACGTCAATAATAAGATGAAAAGATATCAGCGGTAAAGTTACAGGTAATAAGGTCACGAATATCACTTTCACAGGTACCAATAATAAAGTCAAACTTTTGTCATTTATTCGAAAAATTTTTAGGATTTTGTTTTTCGTAATAAAAATTCCTTCACGATTTGTTTGTCCTCTTAGTTTGGGTTTAAATGAGTTTCCGATTCGGTTATTACAGGCTCGCAACCAACAGTAATGAGTGTATCAGATAAACTGCTTACTTCCTGAAGAAACGACAAATTGCCAACTTTGTCTTTTAAAAAAAATGATAAAATTTTGAGGTTCTGTGGATAGTTCTGCAAAAGAAGGATGCCAATCAAATGTTTGAATTGGTAAGCATCTGACGGCATTTTAAAAGGCTCAATTTTAAGGAACTTTTTTTAAAACAAATTATTTTCACCTAGAATTAAGGCTAAATTCTGCTATTTATACATTTCTCTGTTATCATGAAGTACCTATTCCTCAGTTTCCTGTTTTGGTATTATTGCTAATAAATTAGACATCTTGAAATTACTATACCTCAGCAGTGGCGATACCGTCCAACTTCTTTTTTTGTTTCCCTTCCATTATGGTGAATTCGGAATCCGAATTGTAATTACTATTGGAGCGATACTTTTTCATCAACTTATAATCAGATATAGAATCAATCTCCATGTTTGGATCATTATCAGTGTCCAATAATGATGATTTCATCTTTGTTATGGAATATTCGGTCTTCAAGTCTGCATCGCAACTGGCATTTGTTGCAGTTTCGCTTTGTAACACTAGCACGTTATCCTGCACTGATTTTACCTTATCGGTAGTTGTAAGGCAGTCTACTTCCAGCAAACTATCCAGTTTAAGAACTGATGCAGTTTTCAGCGCACTTGGCACTTCCGCAGTCATATCTGTTACGGTGATGCCGGTTTCCAGTGCTGATAAACTATGTGTGCTAGA